CGATAAATCCCTGTTCTCTAATTGATGATATTATCCCACTACATATATTTACGGGGAACAAGGTCGCAAGCTACAACACTAGGACTGTCCGAAGTGCACATGCATATGTATCAAATGTTATTCCTTACCGACGTCTTTCAATATGAATGCAATTTAGCACCGTGAACTCAACTATACCCGGGGGTTTACTCGCATACCATATAAATTATAGGTGACCTTTAAGTGATTTTCTTGTACTCTACGAATTAGTGAATTTCAATACATACTTAATGCATGTCATCTCACCAATAAGAAATCAACTTTTATAATATCGTTAAATTCTATGATTTCGCAGCTGATGAATTCGTTAGCATTTTGTTAAATGATTCGCGGAATTCCACGCAGATATCTTTTACTTATTTCTCACTATCAAGAGAATGTTTTCATCCCTTTTTTCTTTGACTGTTTAGCATGCAGAATAATTCATTTCTGAATCTTTTTTCTTCAATTCACTTGGCGTTGTTCTTCTTGTATCTTCCCACAGTTATTTAGGACTGGTCAGTATCTTGTAGGTATATACGCACCCCGTGTGGAATGCACCGATATGGCCTTAAGTCATAAGCATTCAAAACAAAAAATGGCTAGTGTCCAGTAGTTGAATCAAGGACGCGCGTTTCGTCCTACTTAGCTAGTTGATATCAGGACTCAATAGGTTAATGGATAAGGCGAGTTGTACTGCGTTCGCGTCCCGGATTAAACATTGAATCTGGATTGCAGGTGCATCCAGATGACAAGTCCCAATTACGACGAGACGCAAGTGTTGGATTTCACTGCTAGCTAAAAATATTTTGTTCACTGTTTAACAAGGCGTTAGTTTTTATAATGTCATTCGTTCCAGTATCTTAACAACGGAACAGATGATAATGATAGACCTATGGTTTGATGGGAGTCATCGTGATCACGTGATATGAATTAGAGTGACAATTGTAGTTCTCGGAACTGGAAGGCTTGTTCGTGAAGCTTTCATCGTTATACTGGACGACTTCGTCAGCACAAATTTCCGGTAGAAGTGAAGTGTTTGAATATCTACACATAGGGCTTACAGCTCCTCCAGTAGACCTCGATGTTTGTTGGTTATTCTTGACCCTTAACTGTTATCGTGTGCTTCATTTTTATTGCACTTCCCACTGATTTGATTTTTGATCCTGCATTTTTGATTGGTCTTCTTATATAAATCGGTGCGTTCTTGTTATGCAACTTTTACACGATAACCGTTTCTTCCGTTGTTTGGCTATAGATTGCACCGACCGTTTCTCAAATTTCCTTTGAGTTACCCGAATTATGGTTAGATACTTACTTTCAACCGACAAGCATGTACAGTTGAGTTAGTTGATTGTATAAATTCTGAAAATGAGCCCGTGCCTCCCGTACAGATGTTCTGGAGTAAATTTTTAAGTCCAGGCTATAGAGTTGACCCTTTCGTGTCTGCCTTCCATTTATTATGACGGGCCTACGCAACTGTTTGACAGACAATATCAGCCATGAATATGATGACCGTATGTTTACAACTCCATATCGGTGGAAGAAACTATTTGACTGACACCATCATCGTATGTGAATGCTAAGTGTAAGATTGACGAAGTGTTTTGTAGCTCAAATATGGTGGTATCGCCAATGTTGTGAAGCAATGTTAGGATGACTGTGGATTCTTACTATTTGTAATCAAACGATGATTTGATGCCTACTTCAAATTTTCCTCAACTTATATAAGGTGAATTAAAGTCACAATCCGTAAGGCTATTACACTTGATTGAATACTGTTCTGAAGTTAACCATGTCTCACCACGCTCTTAAGTTCCCATTTTATTTCGTAGGCTATAAGAATTGGTGTAGCCGACGTCCAATTCTGTAAAGTACTTTGTCGCACCACTCAGAATGGTTTAAGTACAGTTCTGCTCCGAAATTTCACGTGGAAACTTTCAAATAAAGTTTTTCTTTCGACTCCGAAAGTGTTCATTAATTTCTGCTTCTGCTGATCGTCCATTCATGAGATCAACAAGTTGAGATACAGACTGACATATATTCAGGGTCTAGTAAACTTGAATGTATTTCTTGGTATCAAGTTTATTTCCTCAGAAGCATAAGTAACTATTAAACATTCGAAAAACTCTCTCTATCCTATTACGTAAAGCTTATAAATGCTAAGAGTTGATTCTATTAACAAAACCATTTTGGTGATTTTGTTCGGACGTGAAGGTGAAATAACATGCTGCTTATTGCTTTCAAAAGATTTGATAGCTTCTGAGTGTTCATCTAAAAACATCTTCGTGATTTCCAGCCACTCAATCAAAAAAAGAACCAGCACAGGGTTTGATGAAACACATTTTTATCATACAAAAGGTGACAACAGATTGGTACACACCATGTGACAGATACGAACAAACTCAAATGGATCAGCTTCTTTATTTGAAAAATCAAATATCATACGCTCAAACATGGATTGATAGGTTATCGACTACATTCGGAAAATCAGACATACCATCTGACTCATACAAGAAAAGACGTGAAGGTGTATTGGAACTTTACAATGTTATGTCCAGTGAATTGGAATACCGACAGTCGAGTTTCTCAAACTCAATAAACGAGGAAGCTAACTTACGTTTTTAAATCACATCAACTGTGAACTCAGTGACCAGTGCTAGCAAGATAAAATCTCGACAGTTGAATACAAACTGCAAGTTCACATCGGAAAATTCTAACAAATCCACTTTTAATCAATGCTAATGGATGAGTCGAAACCAAACTACAGGCCTTTTCTGGAAGTTCTAGATGTATTTTTTGGAGTTCCGGTTATTCGAGAAATTTTGTCCTAATTTCATCCTTGATTAAATTTGGGACAAGTGGAGTAAAGTGAAGCAAATTAGGAGTACTTATTTATTTATTATTATTTATTTTGACACATAGGTATTGGTACACGGATGCACCAAATACATATGCGCCACACAGATCTCATTTGATATGTGTGAGGGCTGTGATACTGCCCGGGTGCCCAAACCGAAGCAGGTGGTTTTCTTAGGGGGCCACACCCCACACTAGACAGTGGGGAACGTAACACGTAGGTAAATCCAACTCACCAAGCCAAATACATTGAATCACTGCAATCATAATAAGATTAGATCAATTTAGCACCCAGGTATTTTATCTTAGATGGATAAGTAATCGAGTGGAACAATCTATTTATTATACAAATGAATATTATTCGTTCACTTGGGATGTTTTCGCAAGTGTATCATTTATATAAATAGACCTTAACATTTCATGAGCTTTAAGTTTCACGGAAATCTTGGTGCTAAATCATTAACGCACCCGTCATTGGTCTCCACAGTCGACAATAGTAAAATAATCAATAAAAAAATCATCCTTATGCAGACCTTTAGGGAATTACGTCATATCACGAAGCTAACAAATCCAGTAGATCTGTTTGTGCGTTTATTGGATAGACCATGTGGATGTAACCAAATAACACAAAATTTATTAACTTAAATTTAAAAAATTCTCATATTAAGACTGTCACCATAACATGCTAGTACTTACTACGCTAACCAAAGTTCAAAATGCAATAACCCTCAAAGATCAAACAAAGACATATTCGAGTGCGAAAGTACTGGGACAGCACAATCGAGTTATAGGAAAATGCTGACATTCTAATACGTTTTGTACGATATACGAAGACGAAAAGACCACAGAGAACCAAACGATAGAGTACACATCTCGTTTCGACGTAGCGGATAGACTTCAAAACTTCAACTAAACGATCGAAAACCATTACTGTGTATAAGGTTTTTGTATTGTGAAAACGCATCAGACGGCGTGGAGAGAACCTTACAGAGTTTACTAAGAAAACCCAACAGTTCAATAATTGACAAATATTTCTAGATTTATACTTAATTCCGTGTTGGTTCAACCGTGCGAAACTGTTGCAAGTTAACTTGAAGTTCTAATCAACTATTTATTTTTTTTCCTGACAATTCTTATAAAGTTCTGGATCTATTAGTTTTGAAATAGCACATGTGAATTTCTCACCCTGTATGAAGCGTCCACACAAACCACAAGCAGTAACATGAATAGATCAAAAATAACTACTTCTAAAAAAATTCAATAGTTTATTTCATTCCTATCTAGATTGTATGATTACTTTTACCGTATAAACACAAAATTTAAAACCGTTTGAAAATTTAAAAGATACATGACTCACGATATTTGATTGGCGAACAACTTAGTTTTTAACACAATCTTAGATGAACCGATATCATGAAACAACTTGGAAAAGTTTAAAATGTACAATACTGTTATTATAAGCGGTAAACGATAATGAAGATCACAAAGTAAATGGTATCGACATATACAAAAGAATAAAGTACAACACAACACTTAGTTGGATACAAAATTGAAAGAAATACAACAATATAGGATGTGTAAATGTTTTTCCCTTATTTCTACTATTTATATTTAGTAGAGATGATAACTCCGAACCAGATGCCGGTTGGGAGAATAAATGTGCCCTAATCCCTGATCCCCTTAAATTTTTTATTAATACCCAAAGGAAAGCCTTAATTGTTAATCTACTTGACTACTATAACCCTTAATCCCCTATCCCAACTAAACCTAATTATCCCCGAGTCTTAGCCCTATATGAACACCCAAACTATTACTCCCAGAAGTAAAAAAAAGAATCATAAGACAAAAAAAAAGAAGATAAGTAGACTTGGAACTATTTGAAATTAAAAAGATAGTTTGGTAGAGAAAACCATAGAAATACCTTAAAATAAAAGATAAAACATGTTGTGTTCGAACACTCTTTGACATACCAAAAAAACATGTCAAATATGTAAAAAAAAAACAGAAAAACATGTGCAAGTGAAAAATAAGGAAAACGGAGAACTGACAGCGATATTTCCAACGGATGGCGTTATATACGGCAGTGATTGAACCAACGGTGAAACATACAGACTGGAGAATTATTAAAGCGACATTTGTTCTTCTAATTTCATCTAAAAACAGGTGGATATTACGATAATGAAATAGCGGATCATAACTAAAAATCGAGAAACACTAAACATACTGAGATAGTAAATAACGTGTGATGATTAATTTATTTGCACTGGTTTGTACCACCAGAAGGGCAATATACTTCTCTAGTACTTTGAATCATATATAACTGGCTATTGGGGAATTGCTTAGAACTTCCGGTTTAATTAAACATCTATAAAATGGTGATCGATATTTCACAATGCCACTGACAGACAAATGATCCAAAGATCAAATTGACAGAAGCTAACAAATGAACTGGTATTAAAGGCAAAACAACTGGTTGAAAAATGAGGTTTGCCTTTTAGTAGAATACAACTATATGTAAAATATCACATTTAGAATAAACATAATTACATATAATAATAATTACGTCATTGGACATATAAGTGGTTTTAGGAGATAAATTTTATGTCATTTACGTCTAAACAGAGAAGAACAGAATACCGAGGCTAATTATTCCACGTTGTATCAATTAATTGTATGAAATGTAATACATGTTTACCGAGTTACGCTAAAGGTGTCTGAAACCAACAAGCTTCAATCAGCCATCCGTAATTGATCGGATGAATGTAACACGTTACTTCTGCAAACATATCGTTTTCCCTTTTGTTCCTATCCTCACTTTATCAAGTATTATGTGATCATGTTACATCGTCGATTGCATATTTTTTAAACATCAATATTGAAAACTTAGCAGCATATAACTTATGGATAAGACAATGGTTGTGTTACGAAAACTGTCATTTGTTGTACGGGGAGCACAATGTTACCATGCATTTACGTCTTAAAACATTTCGACTAAAATTCCCGGCATGTTAACGGAGAAACAGATTGACTGTAATCATATCACTTACACATAACAAGTGATGTTACAGATAAATTAACGTTCTGTAATACGAAATTACATTAATTTACATGGACACATCGTTTACTCTTTTATCCCGAACGGTTATGTAACTTGGATAACTCGAGTAGACGCTCTTCATCTAGTGAGGAATAAGGTGCACGAGTACAATTACCAGATACTATAAGTTGGATTAATTTTTTTCGCAACATTTTAACAATTCAATGTAGTCTTCAAGATATATGATAACAGGAAGACATCAGCACTTTAAAAAATTGTGTAATATTTATAGAAAAACTGTATCTCAGTAACACAGGATGGTACAGGTCACAACCTAATAACACTGACGAATTTAGCTTTGATGAGATGAGCACCTTATATTTTTGATAAGTTACATTTCTTACCGCATTACATGAATCAGCTAATTTGGTTGATCAAAACACTGGATGCCAGATGTAAGATAGTTAACCATACTCGAGGAAAAAACGCGAAGGCCAATTGTAAAAACATTGAATCGACGTAAAAGTGGGTAGGCGCGAACAAAAATTAGGACCAAAACATGCATTACTCAAAAATCAAAAATCTCAAAGATTGTACTGAAGAGATAACCGTTCACGAAGCATTGGAGGACACTGACTCCAGAATTTACTCCAATCATCTTCTCCAACCTGGACTTTGAATCCATGTAAAATCTGATAGTTAAATAAAGATAACAGAACATTTTCCAGTCATCACACAAATATAAACAATTCAATAAAATTAAACGAATTTGTTCACATGATAATAAAAACAACCGTGTAAGGATTCACGAAATGATCAACGTTTTTGATGATTTATTGTCCCGACTTTAGCTGCTACCTTATGGTAGCGGTCGGTCTTGCATATCGCGATGACCCAACCGAGTTAATATTGACTTTGGTGTATGCTACTTATGCCTGTCGACATAAGTAGTATGTACCACCAATCAGAAGTGGAAAAACTGGCAGCAGAAGGCTAAGAAGATAGAGTTGAAGAAAGCAGAAAGGGAAATAGAGAGAAAATTTGAAGTCGAATAATAATACAGAATGTGAAGGATAATTGATGGAAGTTTTGCAAATAAAGTATTCAATGTATGGTCCTCAAAGTTTAAGGATACATTCCCCATCTGAGTCCTCGTTTACCACAAAACCTCTAAGCACTGAGTTAATTTCTTGTACACTACTCACAATAACCTTGATTATGACCAACCCCGAGCCGTTGACTGTTAAGTAACTCTTCCAGGTCACTAGGACCACTACTAGACCAATTTTCTTCCCACGTTCCTCAAGAGATATCTTTTCAAGATAGTCGAGTAATAAAAGCTCCTTTTATACTCCTACCACCACCTGAGGTCACCTTAAATAACTGTCATAAATAATGAACATTTTAAGTTTTCATCAGGTTAAACAGTTATTAGATGTCAAAATGATGAGTCATTTGAATCACAAACACTTAATTCATTGATACTAACCAAGTTGAAAAACTGAAAAGTTAAATAGAGAATGATTAATCAATTTGGATTTATACTTAGGTTTAACTGCGTTCAGCCTATGTGTATTTCATGGAATTCAATTAGAAAGTCAACACCTAACATGGTTTCGACCAGTTTGATCATCACTGGTATTTTCCATTCAGTCGTACATTTGGCATAATATTAGGTGAACTGGAATGTGTAAAATGCTTTAAAAACCTTCATTTCGCTAGGTTTACAACTATACTGACTGAAAGTCCGTAAGTCTTTGTCAGACCGCTTATTTACGTATCAATTAAGAGGTAATATAAATTTTAAACATCTTTGAAGTTAATATTAGCTTTTTGATCAGTAACTCTGATCACCTATGTGGTAGAAGAGCAAACACACATAAATGTAAAGCGAGTAAACCTAAAAATTATGCTTTTTTGAAACAAACCATTCAGTAACAGATGAATTTACTGACGATATGTTATATATAAAGTGGCGGAAAGATACACTTACGGCATTAAATCTATCTTTTAAATCGTCTTTAGGATTATTCCAAGAAGCTACAGCGTCACAAAAGAAAAGAAAATCGTGCAAGACACCGGCAGGATTGAGCGTAATCAAATTACAAATACCACGAAATGCACTGTCTTTTTCTTCATTGTCCCTTATATTGCGCAGAAACAGACACCTGAAGAGCAAACAGAAAATCGACTGAACATGTAACTAAAATAAGTAAGAACATGGAACATAAAAGCAAAATTATTCTGACGGCTAGTAGATGCAAAACGAAACCAAGTGCAAACTTAAACTTATTTTACGTTAGGGTTTTAAACAATACAGGAAAATACTAAACACTCGAGGAACTTCTGTAGTTAACCCACCTTAATTTAAATAAAAGTACCTAAAACCTATTTATAGAATGAAACAACTTGGTATTATTTCAAAAATTTATAACCAGCTACAAACAGACCAAAAAAGACGTATCGGGATAAGAATGCCGGTAAACACCTTGAAATCAGATATTGGAATACAAAAGAACTCGGATCACAATAATATATATGGGAGGATAAGATGGACACTGAAGAACTGACAAATTCAGGGTTGGCTTCATGTTTAAATAAGTTATTCAAATGATAAGCAAAAAGAAAGAGAATAACAATGAAATCTGAGGATATATATACGACGAGATTCCTAAGGAACCAAAATCTTTTTTCCAAGGATGAAGATGACAGAATCACGGTAGCCTTAGTAAGTGGGATAAAACAATTCAAGAAAAAATTGACAAGTACTTAATAAAAAGCAAAATAAAATAAAGTCAGCATATTTTTAAAGTTTATGGACTTCTGACATCTTTGAACATGGATTGATAGGTTATCGACTACATTCGGAAAATCAGACATACCATCTGACTCATACAAGAAAAGACGTGAAGGTGTATTGGAACTTTACAATGTTATGTCCAGTGAATTGGAATACCGACAGTCGAGTTTCTCAAACTCAATAAACGAGGAAGCTAACTTACGTTTTTAAATCACATCAACTGTGAACTCAGTGACCAGTGCTAGCAAGATAAAATCTCGACAGTTGAATACAAACTGCAAGTTCACATCGGAAAATTCTAACAAATCCACTTTTAATCAATGCTAATGGATGAGTCGAAACCAAACTACAGGCCTTTTCTGGAAGTTCTAGATGTATTTTTTGGAGTTCCGGTTATTCGAGAAATTTTGTCCTAATTTCATCCTTGATTAAATTTGGGACAAGTGGAGTAAAGTGAAGCAAATTAGGAGTACTTATTTATTTATTATTATTTATTTTGACACATAGGTATTGGTACACGGATGCACCAAATACATATGCGCCACACAGATCTCATTTGATATGTGTGAGGGCTGTGATACTGCCCGGGTGCCCAAACCGAAGCAGGTGGTTTTCTTAGGGGGCCACACCCCACACTAGACAGTGGGGAACGTAACACGTAGGTAAATCCAACTCACCAAGCCAAATACATTGAATCACTGCAATCATAATAAGATTAGATCAATTTAGCACCCAGGTATTTTATCTTAGATGGATAAGTAATCGAGTGGAACAATCTATTTATTATACAAATGAATATTATTCGTTCACTTGGGATGTTTTCGCAAGTGTATCATTTATATAAATAGACCTTAACATTTCATGAGCTTTAAGTTTCACGGAAATCTTGGTGCTAAATCATTAACGCACCCGTCATTGGTCTCCACAGTCGACAATAGTAAAATAATCAATAAAAAAATCATCCTTATGCAGACCTTTAGGGAATTACGTCATATCACGAAGCTAACAAATCCAGTAGATCTGTTTGTGCGTTTATTGGATAGACCATGTGGATGTAACCAAATAACACAAAATTTATTAACTTAAATTTAAAAAATTCTCATATTAAGACTGTCACCATAACATGCTAGTACTTACTACGCTAACCAAAGTTCAAAATGCAATAACCCTCAAAGATCAAACAAAGACATATTCGAGTGCGAAAGTACTGGGACAGCACAATCGAGTTATAGGAAAATGCTGACATTCTAATACGTTTTGTACGATATACGAAGACGAAAAGACCACAGAGAACCAAACGATAGAGTACACATCTCGTTTCGACGTAGCAGATAGACTTCAAAACTACAACTAAACGACCTACCCTCATAATTATTGTATTTTTTGGGTGCGGTACCTAGCTCCATCTAGAGCCACAATAATTATCGGGCGCCTAACTAAAACTCGTGAACTGCAAACACCAGACTGGTTTCAGACCTGATCATGGATGCACCGATCACATATTCACCATTCGTCAGATCTTAGAACTCAGGCATACTTATCGGCGTCCAACAATGGTGGTCTTTCTTGACTTAAAAGCAGTATTTGACTCTGTGGATCGAAAGGTTCTGTGGCAGCATCTGTCATTGAAAGGCGTACCTCAGAAGTACATAAACCTTGTGAAGGCTCTTTACTCGAACACTACTAGTCGAGCGAAAACTTATGGCAAACTGTCATCTGATTTCGCAACCTCTAGTGGTGGCCGGCAAGACTGTCCACCATCTCTATTTTTGTTTAACTTCATCATAGACATGCTGATGGGAATAACGTTTTCGTCGACTGAATTCTCGGGTATTGAGCTCCTTCCAGGAGGTCCACTTATCGACTTAGAATACGCAGATGACATAGTCCTGTTTGGTGAAGACGCTGATAAAATGCAGAGTTTTCTGGTAGCACTGAGCAACAATACCGGGATGTTTGGGATGCGCTTCTCCCTCTCTAAATGCAAGTTGTTGCTTCAGGACTGGTCTGCGTCAACACCTGAACTAAGGATAGGAAGTGAAGTAGTCGAACGCGTTGACAACTTCACTTATCTTGGAAGTCTGATCAGCCCTAATAGGTTGGTGTCTGACGAAATCTCAGCACGGATTCGAAAAGCTCGTTTGACTTTTGCTAACTTACGTCACCTATGGCGCAGGCGAGATATCCGTCTATCAATTAAGGGACGTTTATACTGCGCGGCAGTTCGTTTTGTTCTATTTTACGGCTGAAACGTGGCCATCAAGAGTAGAAGATACTCGTAAGCTGCTAATGTTTGACCACAGATGTCTTAGAAATATTGCTCGCATGTGCTGGGATCACCGGGTAAGCAATAGTGAGGTTAGACGCAGGGTATTAGGGAATGATGGTAAATCAGTTGATGGGGTTGTGAATCTTCATCGACTGAGATTGTTGGGCCACGTGTTGCATATGCCTGAACACCGATTACCACGACGCGCAATGTTGAAGATGGTTGGAAGAAAGTTAGGGGCGGCCAAACCAAAACGTAGCATCAGTGCTTGAAGTCACTAACTTCTGGTCTGAGCCATGTTGGTGGATACAGACTACTTGGTTGGGGTCCGCGTGACTGTCGTAACCAATGATTGGAGATTCTGGGTGATATAGCTCAGAAACGATCACAATGGCGTCGGTGCAAACACTCTGTCTTCCCTTCAACCATGAGATTAAAAGTACTTTACACCTTTCTTTCTACCTACTAACTCTTTCTTATTGTGCCATATCCTTATATGTAATCTGTTTTTTAATGTATTACCACCATTGAAGCAGCTGCTTGTATGAATTTGATGTTCATCCTGTTGTGCTAATGAGGTGTGGCAACTTGGACCGATGCATATATGTGCGTGGTCCTACGTTATAACTGACTAACTGATGATCGCTTCCAGTGGTCCCCAAGTCCGGAGAAAAGAGGGTTAGGTAACAACAACCTAACAAGAGCAGAGCGAGCCAAAGCACAGGTCGAACACACAGAAGCAAACACAATGGTGAAGAGGGGCATCACAGCTGATAGGCGGAATACCTAGCAATGTCATCAGAAAAAGCTGGAAGAAAAGGAGATATGAGACATATATATGAAACAAGGAAGAAGCTGGAGGGGAAATATTGTAAACCAGTCAAGAACAAATAAATACTATTCCCTGAGATTCAAGAACAGTGGAACAGGCGGGTGCAACACTTTGGAGAGCTCCTCAACAAACTAACCTGAATGAAGACCTGATGCAGATGTAAAGGCACGGATTAGCAAAACAAGGGCAGCAACTGCCAACCAACATCAAAGTCGAAATTCTCAATACAAACGTTAAGAGTCTCATTGTACATAGCTGGAACTGGGAGAACCACCACAGCCATCATCAAAAAAGTACAAGCGTTTGTTTACGCAAGACACTCCAGATCCGTTGGCTGGATAACAACGGACCACTGTGGGAGAGAGCAAACAAGCTTCCGGCTGAAGAAACTAGAAAAAAACGCAAGAGGTGGATCGGACACGACATTGCAGGAATCATCAGACCGCATAAAGAGGCAAACCCTGACATGGAATCCTAAGGGCAATGAAGAGAGGAAGACCAAAGAATTAGGGGTAAACATCAAGAGAGTGAGTGGCAGTAGGAAACAAATGAAAAGGAGTACCCAGGATATAGTTCGTTGGAGTCATGGTCGGCGGCCTATGCTGCACGAGGTAGGGGTTAACAGCCGTAAGTAAATAGATAAGAGGTAACTAAATCGGAGACTCATACATTCGTTTTACAACTTACCACTGACGAATGAAAGTGCTTAGATGAGGAGCCAATTCACCAGGACAAACAAAACCAAGACGTCCAATCGTTATCGCTATATGTGAAGAAAATAAAACAAAGTTTATTTGCATCAATACTAATGTGTTTGTGAAGATTGGCTGCATTTTGTACTTTACATCTCGGATCGATCTTATTTAGATAACTATCTGGAACCCGGAAGTACTGGACAGTTTTGCTTTTGTATGGAGCTTCTCAACAGTCAGCGTGCACAACCCACCTTGGATCGGACCCCAGACACTGGCGTCTTGCGGAGAGCTCTTCACGTTTAGATTACTAAGTTTGCATCCGATGGTTTGAACTTTTGACCCCAATTAGATATCGCTTACTAATGACATTGTTAGACCATTAGTCACGACCTCTTACTACAGCTCTGGCAATTACCTCCCAAAAATGGGCATCAATGAGATTGAACGGTGGTTGTACAACACTCCAAACTAACCGAAGCTAGAAATGTAAGTCATTTTAGTGACCTATATATAAAAGTTAAGTTAAAGTTGCCCCTCTGTGTTGCTGTGAAGTGTAACCGTTATGTCAAACCCAAGACTACAAATTCAAAATGCTGCTAGTCTAATTACATTATTCTATTTGACAGTTATGTTTTTATCTGATCATGGTGTCAATGAGCATTAACAAAAAAAAAGGAAAAACAATTCATATAAACTCAGCAGTGAATGCTTATAGAGCTATGAAATATAGACCTGTATGGGCATAAGAATTAAATCTAGCGATTTTCCTCACAACAGTAAACTTTCCTGGGAATCGATTTCATGAAAAAACACATTGGTATGAAAATTTGTGAATATACGACAAAAAGTTTACATACCAGTATTTTCGTGGAGTGTCTTAGGTGTGCTTTGACGATTGATAATTTCTATCAAGGGATGAATGAACAAAGAAGCAAACGGTGCCATCCCTTCACCTGAGAAACAAAAAATGCAATGATATCTCATATAAAAAATTCGCAGCAAATTTGTTGGCTTAAATTGCCATACTGATGCTTCCCTATTAGCAACATAACATTTAACGACAATAAAAACGGGATACATTAAGCCAGTCGATTGTAGGTACGACAAAATCTGGAACAAGTGTGAATGGTTTAAGTTGACATAACATAGTAGGAGTAAATTGAAGCGGAAATAATGCCATTTTCTATGGGACGAGTCAAATACAAGACCAAAAAATAAGGAGTGGTATCAAGTTTAAGACTTAGAGATGAAGTGGCTGGATTACTTGAATCTAAGATTTATAAATTTAGGGAGCTCTCAGGTAGATGATGATTTATAACTAATTTAATTCGTAGTCAACGAACTTGGTTGCTACACAGTAAGTTCGCATGGTTGGGAATAGTATTTGAAATTTATGTTAGTTATATTTGTATTTGACTCTATTTCATTCTCTATACTACTCTTACACTTATTGGTATTTGATGAGCAAACCCGCGTAATCTAAATAGAGAATCCAAATCAACGAAGATTTACAAAGGACACAACTGGTTCACTTTTATCTGTAACATTACATCATGGGTCATAATAGAAGTTATGCTTTGGTATATCGTAAATACCATAACTCCAATTATCTAAATTTTGATCAAGAATATTATTCAAAATGCTAAATACATGTAAACTGAATAACTAGAAATCACTCACCCAATTGAATACAAATTTCTCCGATTGCCCAAATAGCATTGTTACTAACAGATATATGCTCAGAACTCAGATTATTAGCCAAAATTGTCATAAACTGACCAATCTGAGGTTGGATGTGCGCAAAACATGCCTTTGTTAAATCACCCAAGAGAGCAAAACTACTCTGGCGGACGTCTGGTTGAGCATCTTGAGCTGCTTCACACAGTAACTTTACTAAGGGGCTACTTGATACTAAATGTTCCATCTGAGACCCAAGACCTTCCATAAGCCCACTTAGGAGATCCAGAGAAATCACCATAAAGTCTTTGTCTGGTGGTTCATATACTTCTGGTTGTTGAGCATGTAGCTGTCAAAAATGAACATTTAAACTTGTTCAACGAAACAATTACATTAAGATGTTCATTGAACATCTAACAGCACTTGCATCCTAACTCTTATAACAAATCAAAGAATTATTCAGGTAGATATTTGCGCAAGTAAAGTCAACGTGGATTTAAAAGGAAACAAGGGACTTATAAATACGGGTTGTCGGTTCAACTATTATTGAGTAATTCCACAACGAAAATATTGACTGAAAAACAAGGATACTAAGGAATATCAAGATCTTTAATAACCATTTCAGAAACCGTCAAGTTAAAAGTTATCTTTGAATTAATCAATAATTTACAGAGCTGGATTATGTAACTTTAATACGGGTAAGCTTTTCTAATTTTTTTGTACTCGCTAACGCTGTACAAGAATAGCGAAATGTACAAAAACATGGAATTCAACTGACTGCATTTTTCTTTATCTACGTTTATAAATGAAATCAGTTGAAAGTATGTAAGTTAAGGGATGAACACTAGGGTTTATATCACCAATCTAAATTGTTTAGTAACAAAGACAAACTTACCTTACTGAGTTGTATTGTTCTATCAATTAAATTAACACATCGACTAAACACAGGAGCGCAGTAGGGTAGGAAACCTGTTCCTAGAGCAGTAGCCATGCTAGAAAGGCACTCCAGAAGGGGGAATAAGTCTTTCTCATCATCTCGTAAAACGTTCCACTTCTCAAAAAGCGGCGGCATAAGCATCTCTATGAAATCCTTTGGGGAAATTACGAGATCAATTTAAATTTACCGGTCGATTGAGATGATGACCAACAGAATCTGCAAGTGTACCTATAGCATCATATAAAATAAACAAGTTTTTGTGTTGATATTGTTTAAGCGCGTACACGAGAGTTCGTAAGATGAGGTCCAGATATGGGACGAGATCTGTACATGCTTCTTCTTCTAGAGTAGCGAAAGCAGAACAGGCTGCCTCCTGAACACGTTTGTTACAATCCAAAATTCTTTTGAGGAGCTACAACAACTAAGTTTAAAGGTTGACTTACCTCAACCATTAAAGGTTTGAAGTATTGCTCATGAGGTTGTCCGACGATCCAATGAGAATAACGGCTTAATGTCCAACAAGTTATACTACGTATGAGAGGCCTATCATCCGATAGACAACCAATGAGGAACGGACATAACTCTGGAAGGTATGGAATCATGCCCTTCATACAACCTTAACGAAGTTATTTACTATAATGAACTAACCTTCTGCAATAGCACCAAGAACCAAAATACCAGACTCCTTAAGCTCCCACTGAGGAGAAAACAGAAGTTCTTTTGTGATTGGCAACAAAATAGGTAAGAAATCTGTGTGGAACACACTAGCCAACACATCAAGGGCAGCAGCAGAACATTTCCTGAGAGTCCAATTGGAAACGTAATCGTCGTCTTCATCTTCGTCATCATCCTAAACAAAAACCACTAGAAGGATGATTACATTTACCTCCGGAGAGAAAAGTTTATTTTTTGTCTTATGAAACCGCGGTCGAATATCGCATTCCTTGTCAGGCAGGTGAGCATCTTCTTCTAAATCATTCTACAAAAATATTTTGGTCTAAATGTCTTACTCGAAGTAACACCATGTCACTTTCTGAATACTTCATTCCACAAACTAAGACTGGGATAAGTCGCCCAATATACGGCGACAGAGCTTGGTGGCATACAGGTTGTTCAGAAAGCGAAAGCCAAAATTCACATGCCTCCCTTGAAATATTTTCATCGGTTTCTTGAGTGCGAAGAAGCATAAACTATTTTTTAAAATTAAAAACACGTAGCTTTACCTCTATAATATCAGGCAAATTTGGAAGTAATTTATCTAAGTGAGCTTCCAGAAGCTGTACAAATGCAGAGCAAACATGTCGTCGAACATTTGGATCTTCATCTTCGGCTAAAGCGAACAAACACTCCAGAAACTCGTTAACAAAGTGCAGGAGAACCTGAGATTGACTATGTATGAAGTGGTTGATGCATGCAAGAGCATGGGACCTAAATTACACGAAATTTCGTTTATTAGGTTTTTAAAAAACTGTACTCGTCACAGATACTGCATTAGACAAATAAGGAATAGAAGAGCAACTGGGCCTTAGAATAAGTACAACAAAAGTAAGTCTAAAAATTTGACTATGATCAAGTTGAGTAACGAAAACCAAATTGCAAGACTAGGAAAGTACTGAGTGTTGGTTCAGAATGATCAGCTTGCCAAACTAATTAACTGAGTCACTTACCAATCGTACCGTCATGGCCGACACGCTGAAACCTATCATTCTGGTAATTATTATTAGAGTTGAAATCGAACAAGCTTTTTACACATAACTAACATCTGATAACCTCGCCTTCACGTGGCGGGGGTGTTGTTTACGAAAATGAGAGGACGAAAAGCGAATGTCCGGCGCTTTAACCGGATCCCAAACCAATGGTGCACATGGGCTGGCTCCAGTATCCTGAAGGAACAAATGGCGTATGAACCAATCGTTGGTCACCGGCTACCATGGGACTGCATCTCTTTACGATGCTCCACTGTCTTGTGGATCAGATCTTCAGGTCGAAGGCTCGGGGTGTGGTCTCCTGAGAAAACCACCTGCTTCGGTTTGGGCACCCAGGCAGTATCACATATCGAATAAGATCTGTGTGGCGCATATATATTTGGTGCCTCCTTGTACCAATATCTATGTGTTAAAATCAATAAAATAAATAAATATCGCTTCGATCGTTTGTTGGTACTTGCTCAATGTTAAAGTGAGCCCCCAGATTTCCGTAGAAAACCGGTATAACTGCCTCCAAAACCAAATAAAATCTGGTCTTTCACAGCCATCATAGACATGTTAACTGTGGGCAATCGCCATTGATACAGCGCATATAATACGCTACAATCGACTGACGGTAGGATCGAGTTAAATCTGTAAACACAAGCTACCAGTGACAAATGTTAGAGTAAATGACACCAACAAACTACATTGTGTGACCCTACAATGAAAAACTGTAGTTTAATACGACGTGTACATTTCTAATTCAATATGGGAATTTTTATTTACTCGGTCTCGAGCTAGATCTAAGTGATAACTCGCTGCCTAATGAAAAGTCAAGAGTGGATCAAAACTACGACCTCGTAGTCGAAAGACTATTTTGGTACAGAAAACACAAAATAACTTAAATGAAAGATAAACATATTCAAGTAGACATTTTAGTGCAATTTATTACACCTTGCAGCGGCACTAAGTGAACGTCAACGAAAACAGGAAGCTTGAGCAATAAAAGTTCCGAAGCGTAATGTAGGTCTAGAAGATACATGTCCTGGACTTAAACGCCTGTTTGCAACACGTCATAAGCCATTTTAGGTTAAAAACCATTACGTTCAAAAGTAAAAACATGCGACAGAAAGCCACTAGGCTTAAAAATTCAAGAGTGGGGAGCGAGGAACAGTCCCAAACCAATGAAACGTCAGTTAAAAGTCATAAAACTTAGAAATTTTTTGAGTGTTCATTAATGTAATCAATTGCTTAATTCTGATGTACGGGATCAAAATTTCTAGCGATTTTTTCTACAACTAGGCCAAAGCGGATTAATTCAAATGACACGCTATAAGTTAAAATCCATAGATGAACAGAACCCTCGTGCACAAGTCTTTTTGCCAAGAAATTAACTTCAGGGACATACTACTGGAACGAGTCGTCTATATAACCCACTAAAACAGTAGATATTTGAAAGAGGATGACTACTACAAGCTTCTTATTGTCAAAGAAAATATATTAAGTGAACCTGATGGCAAACTATTCACGAGTACGCAACAAATACGAAGTATATCTCACCTGATTTTGGCACTGTCATGTCGGGAGTATTGTAAGAATTTTGGAATAAGTAGTCCTATAGGACAACCAATACGATCGGTTTCAAGTTGAGACGAAGAATCTTCGCATATTTTTTCGATCGCACCAAAAGCACCCTAGGGACTTATTTGGTCATCAACATAACGAACCTCCATAAAATTAATATCATGAGAATCAATACATTCCACCAACTTTGGGAGCAACTCTGGCCAATTTTGTATCCCGTCACTAGTTACAATAGTGGTAATAAGGATCCCGACAATTGATCTGATCATAGGTGAGCTATCACTGATGCACCGTAAACACCCATCCTTGATGTAGCTAATAAGTTCAGGAGGGCATCTCTTAAAGTGACTTTTCAAGTTATTTTTCAGAATAAGTCCACTAAGAGAACGCGTGCTGTCACCTGGACAATATTTATAGTTAGATTATATTTTAAACTTACTTTCCGAGCCCGCATTTGTCAAGATATAAGCTAGATACTTGTTAAAATCAGGAACATTGTTTAACTCATTCAATTTCTAAAACTATTAGAAGGGGAACTTCACTAACCTCATGCACAACCCTTTGAACGTTTGTGTCAGTTGATTGAGAATTATGTAGCAAATCTAACGTTTGTCGTATCCCATCCTCATCTGGAAACCAACTCATCGTGACGAAATGACCGCCGATTGTCTTTAAGATGTCGTCTAAACAATATTAATTCCTCAAAGCCATAAAAGTATGTTTCCTATGACTAAAACGATCCTAAGTGGATTTCCAAAGCATATTCTTTCAATTTTTGACTTTCATGATCAGGTAATGAAGTTGAGGTTTTTCCAGTGAGTCGTACCCCAATCGTTCCCTTATCAAGAATCTTACCGAGAATGAGCATAGCTTTTCAGTGAATTTATGGAAGTCAAAGCTCAGAAGACCCATTTTTTATTTAAGCATGTTTAACTCATACAAATTTGTCTTGTATGTATTTAAAAGACGTATGAAGCGGTAAATATTTCCTCAAAATGAATACTTCCGTAAGTCTACAAAATGAAGGCCGATCTCATTCGCTCTACTAAACATACCTTATCTGAAGGTTCTTGATCACCTAAATGCATCAGATTACTAGTAGGTACGATCCATTGTGTATCCCTTGCAACTACAGTATAGCTCAAGTCGAACGCTTCTCAACAAATCGGTGACGTTCCAAAAATACCTTCGGATTTATTCACTCCCTGACTTATGACTTCACTAGGAAAATACCAGCAAAGATGCCACAACCATTAGGAGTTTGACAGCGTTTTTGCCAGTGACACCTTTCTAATCGAAGTATGCTAAACCAGTTAGATCAAAGTCAGGAGTGAAGGGGTTCGAAGTTATATTTGAAAGGCTATCAATAACTGGAGAAGTGATTGATTTAAGCTGGCTAACGGTTGTAGGAGATGCTTAGCGCTGCGTACCCACTTGTGATCTGGTGCGAATACGTGACCAAGCGCATTGAGCTAGATGTGTTCAGTAAAACCAATGCGGCTAGCATCGAATGTCGAAGATATATAGAACTATTCATATTGGGGATTTAATTATCGCAACGTACCCTTGGATTATAAATTTGTTACATGCGAAAGTGCCGTCAGACCCTGAATATTCGAGTCATCCTTATGTATATAAAGGAGTCGGAAACCGTAGTTGATAAATAAATGTCTAAGTCTCTATTTTCTGAATCGTATTCAGATTGTACATATTTCAGTATTGGTTGTAAATCAACTAGTGTAAACTGTAATGTTGCATTCCTGGTGTTATTACGTATAACCTATTGATTAGTACTTGAAAATATACTATTTCTTAATTTGCCCATCCTTCTCAACCCTTTCACATCCAACTTGCTGGTTCACAACCGACCAAATGCAGGGTCCCAATGGAGTTTCAGTTTTTGCACTGTTAATCTTGTCTGATCGAGCTAACATCCTTTTCTGGCACGAGTATCTCCATGTTGTGACCCTGATTTTGGTTATTCTTGTGCCTGGGTCCCCAGTGCATGACTGGATCTCAGGATCAGCCGGGATATCTAGCGAATGTACTTATGGTCTTTACGATTAGTGATGTTACCTGGACAGTTGGTGTCGATATTTTCGTTGATATTTGTTGTACCAAGTGATTAACTTGTTGTAACTGCTGAATAACCGGACTCCTGAGTCATTGGTTTTGGTTTGGAAGTCAGGGATAGTTGGTTGCGCTGCGTTTCACTCTCGATTTTGTATGTGGATACTCTGAGATTCCAGGCTCGCAACTCAACGGAATCGTGCTAAAATACCATTGTTTTGTCAGTGCTTAGCAGTCGTTCGAAGTCCAGTCGTACTCAGAAGTTTACTTAGGGATCGTAACATTTCAAATACTGGTTGGGATCAATGTCCGTATGTCATAGTGAAGCAATGTGAACTTGCTTGAAAATAGCTTAATTCATTCGATTTTGATAGGAGCCTTACCAAATGTAGGGGAATATGGTTGAAAAGTGTGATTACCATTGGAATATAACCCCAGGGACATTTATCACTTCTAGTCACCTTGGGTTGGCGATAACTTACACAGGAGCGTGTACATCCCTACACGGCTTTTCTCATTCATAGGCAGCGAAATCGTTAGGGAATTGGCTTGACAGTTCCCGGAATTAGTAAATACACCAGAATGCATGGTGCTTTAATAAAAATTCATTCGCGTTTCAAAGGTGCTCACTCGCTTATGACTTAATAATTGTGGAATTTCATCCAAATCGCTAATGAAAGTTCGCAAATCTACTAAGGGTTCGACTCTGCTTGATGACTGCCAGTTTTAATTAGTCCAGAATAGCTTCTGCTTGTTTTCCAGTGAGCAAATAACTTCAACCGGCTGAATTTCCTAACTGGCTTAATGTATGCAATACGACCTGGAAGCGCGCTACGAATGGGTAGCCCAGAATACTCATCTACCACGTGTACCTAGCTATTTTCTACGCATCTCAAGGTCGTGTTTTGTTGCTATGCTTAAAGGGTTATTTTACTTCAATTTCGAACCTAATAAACGCTCTTGTTAATGAACGCCAAACAGTTGGAAGTGTATCATAGCATGAAGGGACAAATGAAAAGGAAACTACCACTTTACATTAGCTCATCACAACGATGTCAGATATTAGAGGACTGCTATAAACTCCTGTAACGGCTTAGGTTGATTGGTTAACAGGTGACCTCAAGCAACTAAGCATATGTCAAAACAGAATAGTTCAAATATTCATTCACTTCTTTATTATGTATAGGCGTTATATTTCTAATTATCTTATATTGAGTGTTGAAAGGTTTTGTTTGTCTGAACAAGGAATCCCATGATCTACTGTGACTGCGCGAAGACCAAAATAAAGACCTATTCCTTACGAGTCTGGTTTCTTCTACCAATAACACGAGGGTTACCTATAGGCACGAAACTCCTACCATACACTTTAGTTATATCACTCGAGGAACATTTATTACTTACGCCCGTTGCCCCTCGTTGGGAAGCATGAGTGGTTTTTATGAGTGTTTTTATCCTAAAAGCTGTTTCTTATATTTGTTCATGGTGCAACATAATCTTTTAAACTACTTATTTTTACACCTCCCAGTTTTTACTAATGCGGACTTTCAGTTTATATATGTATCACGTACTGTACTCACTTTGATTGTGTGATACTAATTATCGACATTTTCAAATTAATTTATTATATAAGGCTATCTATCGTGTAATATATATGTTAAAATTTACACAACATGCTCCATTATGTTTTATTTTGCCTCCACTCAGATACTAATATAAATACTACATCTCCACTACTATCTTTCTGCCATTATCATCTCTTGTTTTTGACACCTTCACTAATCCCCACGATACATTCAATCTTGGTTAAAACATAGGTTTCGATTTCTAGACTAAATTGAGTCCTTGGCATTGATTTTTCACCCATTTCTATTTTCAACATTTTGTTCAATCCATCTGCTACACGTCACTTTCTTATCATGCCACAAAAAAGAAGACCCCTGCTTCTAGGCGTCCAGCCAAACGTAGGAAAACGACACAATCTAACAATACTACTGACACGATTTCCGACAGTTTCGACGAGACGAGCTACTCCGTTCATCCAGAAGCAGACAAGCTTTTACCAGTTGTCTCCATTTCATACATGTTGAAGACTCTGCTGGTAGACAGTGATGATAATCTCGACTGCGACCATATAGATGATATAAAAATGCTGCAAGTTGACTTGGACATTCTCAATCCACTTAAATATCTCATCAACCCCAAATTCACAGAGACTTCAGATCAAATGAATGACATAAATAATTTCCTAGATCGTGTTGAATCCGAGGTATTTGAAAGAATAAGACGACCTAGCATAGCAATTGTGTTTAATATACCGGACACGTATGCCCTTAAAAATATCAAATTTAGTCTGCTTAGAGCCAGAAATATGACACACATACAATGTGTATGCACAAGATCAAAAAGAAGTCACCCTGGTATGCACTCACCGATCTTGTTCAAATTTAACCCATCTGTAGACGTCAGTTAATTTTTAACTATCTCCAATTCATTGAGACAAAAACAGATTTTCAAGGATATTAAGATTCTTCCAAAGAGAACACCATGCCAGCAAAAAGCAGGAAGAGATAGCAACAGACCACCAGTGTCAAACTCCCAAACGCATCATTATCCTAATGGTCATAAAAATAAGTCAGACTCTAAGAGGACATCTAGCTTTACAGGTATGCCGCCACCAAAAAATTCTTCTGAATCTCCTAAATTTCGAAATCCAGAAGAAAGTAATCCCGATGTAGGTGGTGTCCATCCTCTTAAGAATGTTGACTTAGAGTCAACCCGAAGTAGTTGCGCTGATGAAGAATGGGATAACACAGTTCAAATCCCTGCCAGTGCGACTCTCAGTTACAGTAACTGTGCAACCGATAACAGGAAAACTAATCATAACATTTCTATAACTGACCACATACTTAACGTCGGTATATTCGAACCTCGAAAACCATCACAATTATGTTTAACAGCACACGATTCTCCCCAAGTTATGAAGAAGCCGAAATTAACCACAAACCTTGGAAATAAACGTCTGGAACACGTTAACCATACGTCAGGTACAAAACGTAATCTGAATTGCAAATGGCCACTTCGTCGCATACATAGACCTGATAGCCTTCTTGGTCCGGCTCCCAATACGTACACTATGCCTTCATCAGATGTTATATCCAATAGCAATGAGAAGACATTTTTGTAATGCCGCTGGCTTTTCTGCCGGCAGCGGTAAACATGTTTCAAATGATGAAAAAATGGTTAAATCTATTTCCCCTCGCAGCACAACTCTTATCTTAACCAATCCTAAGAGTATTCATTAAACTACCAATTGCGATTTGTACTCTAGTCTGCCTCACCATGATAACTCTGAGTTTCTTTTCTTTCATTCAATGTCCGCTCTCTGTCCAATAAAATTATTTATCTTAAAACCCATTTATTCCTTGTAAATCCAACCATTGTACTTGTTACAGAAACGTGGTGCAATTCATCTATATCTGATCACTTCTTGAATATAGATAACTACGCTTTCTTTAGAACCGATAGATGTTATGGATTAGGAGGCGTCACAATTATCTATGTTCGTTCAGACTTTC